TGATAGTATGAGAAAACGACAGCATCAAGAATCAAAAAGGAGTAGCACAAGAGGGGGCAGTGGTTATCGCGCGACTAGAGTTTTTTCGGAGAAAATGTTCATCGAGGGTCGAGCGGGTGAAGAGAGGGCGAAGCTGTGCTGGTCGTTTACTCCTGAAGCTGGCTGCGGCGGGTCTTCTCAGCCTCGAGGTTCTCGTACAGAAGGTAAAGAGCCTTCTCGTTGGCCTGAGCGCTACCCATGATGGTGAACATGCGTTCGCCCGTCTCGTCATGGGGAGCCTTGGCGATGGAGATCCGGGCTCCAGAGCTCCTGCGGATCTCGGTGATCTTGCTACCACCTCTGCCAATGATGCAGCCAACCATGTCAGCGGGGATGCTGATGTTCTGTGTTTGGATTTCCTCGCCATCTTCGGTGACAAGCGGGTAACCACGGTTGCTAGTGTCGGGGTTGGATCGCCTGCCGTAGCCACCGGACTGGTCGCTGAAGTCGGCACCGTTACCGGTGCGGTTGTAAGGACGGCTGTTGTAGCCATTGCCGACGCTCTGGTTCATGGTGCTGGTGCTAGGGGTAGTTCCAACAGACGCACGGACGGCGGGGTTGTACAGGATAGTACCGGTACCGCGCTGCCAGTCGTCAATCAGGCACTTTCCGATCTCCCAGACGGCCTTCTCGATACCCTCGGGGGTGCCCTGCACTTCGACGATACGCTCGGTCGACTGGGGGAGCATTTCCTTCTGCGCGACCATGCGCACGCCCGACGCATCCTGGATGTGCTTGATCTTGAGACCTTGGCGTCCGATGATGGTACCCATCTGGTTGTGAGAGATCAAAAGCCGAACGGCTACACAAGAGTCAGCTTCATGTAACTAGCAAGCAGTTGTTTAGTAGAAAAACTTGGATGACTTACGGTGAGTTCCATTGTTGGACACAATGCCACCCATGCCCATCTGAGGGGCGCCCTCGAGCAAACCCTTGGCAACCAAAGCATAGGCTCTGGCAGTGCCGTTCAGAGGACCAGTGACGGTCAAGACGCGGTCGTGAACACCAGGAACAACCTTGCTCACACCAGCCTTGACGCCGGTTTCGTCACGCAGGTCAGCAACGTTCTTGCCAGACTTGCCGATGATGATGCCGGCTTCCTTGGACGAAACGATGGCGCGAAGAGTCAGCATAGACTGAGCGTACTCTTCCTCGGTCTTGGGCGTCGTCTCAATGTCGACATCGTCAATCATGTCGACGTTGTTCGGGGAGGTCTCGTCGACCATGGTGGTATCGTGCAACTCGGTAGGGTCCATTATGTCGGTAAAAAGAGGAATGGTGAGGTTTGGGCGATAGAAAAAATCTGGGGATAGAAAAGGTAAGGTTTTTCGTTGACGGAACTTTTCCCACGAATTAGTGTTGGCACACGGGAGGGGAGTGATGATTTTCGCGAGATGTCACGGTAAAGGGATAACACAAGGAAAGAGGCAAATGAGGTGGCGCGCAGGATTGGAGCGGAGAACATGAGGCTCTTACCTAAAGTCGTAAAGTGAAGCAGAAAGACGATGAAAATCCGAAGAGATGAAGATTAATCTGCGAAATCCGGGAAGGGAAGCAGGAAGTCGATTGGGTGGCCGGAGAGGGGGCGAAGAGGATGGGATTCAGAGGGGTTTTCGGCGGGCGGGGGAAAAGGTGGAGGGATTTGGGAGATGGGGAGGCGGAAGGAAGAAGGGAAGGAGAAAAGAGGAGGAAGAGGTGGAGGGAAGAAGAGGAGGAGGAAAGGAGGATGGAAGAATGGAGAGGAAGAAGAGGGAGAAAGAAGCAGAGGGAAATGAGGAGGGAGGGAGGAGGGAGAGATGGGAAGCGGAGAGGAAGTGGTGGGAAGCGAGCAAAGAAGGAAAAGGTGGAAGAAGGAAAAGAAGAGGAGGAGGAAGAAGAAGAAGAGAAGAGGAAGAGTGGAAGAGGAGCGAAAGAAAGCAGTCACTCACTCAGTCAGTCAGTCGGCGCTGATGCGACACCTTCGGGCTTAGTTTCGTTTTTCGGTTCACTCGTGCGGGAATCAATCAACAAGGGCTATGCCTGCTGTCTTTTCATGTCCGCCACGCTGCTGGCTCGCGCGAATCCAGATTCATCATTCACGCTGTGTGTGATCTATCTATTTTACTTCTACTCCAGGAAAATTCCCCAATTGGTCTTCTCGTCGCGTTGCCTGGGATGCTGGTGCTGTACTGCTGTGGCTGACGCTCGCCTGGTATCCTTGATTACTACCACCACATGATAATTAATGGACATTTTTGACCAGACTGCATGTCATGTAAAGAATTCAAGCGCTTCTTATCTTCATTGATCTAGCGAGATGCCATTCTTATTCTATTTGTCCGCCTCGAAAATCACCTTTTGCACCTTCATGGCGTTGAAAATCTCATACGCCTCAACCGCCTGCGACAGGGGCATGATCTTGTCGGCCATGAAGCTATTACCACGCATTCGTCAGCATTTGCAAACACCAAAAAAACCACAGAATCAATAATATGAAAGAGTGACATACCCAAGACGATGCTGATTCTTCTTCAGAACTTCCAACGCCTCTTCCGAAACGGACCGCACAGGGCACCGGCCCATCTGGACCGTGAGGTTCTTTCCATAGGCCTCACATCCATTCCACGGGATCTAAAAATGTCCTCAATCAATATGCAGGCCTCACAAAAGGACTCGAAACATCACTCACCTCTCCATTGTGCACACCAACGCTGCTAATGGTGCCGAACGGCCGCAGCAGATCATAACCAGTCTTCAGCGCCGGACTCAATCCCACCACCTCAATGACAGCATCAGCACCACGTCCCTCCGTCAACTCCAGGACGCGCTTGTCGAGGCCTTCCCGGTCAGTCTGGAAGTTCCAGGGCTCAGCTCCCAGCTCCCTGGCAAGTTCCAGACGCGCAGGGACGGAGTCGACCGCCAGTAAATGCTTAGGCTTGTACTCCAGCGCATTGATCAACGCACAGAGTCCGACTGGCCCGCAGCCGATGAGGACAACCGTCTGCTCGGCGATTTGCTCCTTAGTAGAGGTCTTGAATGCATTCCGCGCGGCGAAGTAGCCAGTCGGGAAGATATCTGCCATGAGGACGAGGTACTTCTCGTCGACGCCCTCAGGGGCTTTGACCACCGATCCATCCGCATTGGGGATTCTAATCTGAGCGCAGGTTCCATCACCGTTAGACACATGCTCTGGGCATCATGGCGTACGTTGAGATAAGATAGACTCACATATTCGGCCTGAGCACCATCCAGATGGTCGCAACCCAGAAGCATGTTCTGTTCGCAACGGGACGAGTATCCTTGTTTGCAGTAGTAGCACTTCCCGCTATAAGAGGCAGCATGCATGCATTAGTATAAACGCCTGCAGCGATCATCAAACCAATTCCCTCCTACAGAGGGAAAAAGACAAAACTGAATTGAATGACCTACCAGGACGTCGTAAAAGCACTCACGACCTTATCCCCCTTCTGGACAGACTGCACAGCATCGCCCGTCTCAACCACCACACCAGTAACTTCATGGCCCATCACATAGCCTGTCCCCGAGGGCTCTATGCCACGGTACACATGAAGGTCACTATAAAGTACCAATCAATCAGCCTCTCCCCTCCAAGAAGAAGACAAAATAAAACAAACCTCCCACAAAGCGCCGTATAAGTCACCTTAACCAAAATATCGCCCGCATCCTGAATCCGAGGCACGGGGCGCTCCTCAACAGCGACCTTATAAGGGCCGCGGAAGACCACCGCGCGCATAGTGTTTTCCGCAGACATGATTAATTACCTTCTCGGCGTCTTTCTGAGGGATCCAATTTTTGAAAATCAAGAAGAATTGAGTCGTATGTATCTTGTTCACAGCTTAAGTCTCTTTTAAAGAAAGAGAGAAGAAAAGAATAAAATAAGAAGAAAATTCTCAGAATTCACGCATCCGATAAACGGACACACCCCGCCAGATTATTACACTTATTTTCCCGCCCCTCAGTCCCATGAGAGAGGAAAATGAAAGGTCGGAGGGAGGCGTTGGTGGGTCCATTCCCTTCGCCTTCGGAGTTGTGAGCGACCGCGGATGGCGGCGAACTGGGCTGCTGGCATGGTGGAGAGAGAGGGTGTTGGAGTAGAGGGGTAGTATATATAGGATGGAATCGTAATCATTGTATATTCATGTAGTAAGTAGATAGGTAATCTAGTAGTATAAAGTAGTAGTAGAGCAAATGAAGATGATTAGTGGGGGGTGAGACAGGTACTTAGTAGTAGTTGTTTGACGGCCGGGGTCCCCGCGGATTAAGTACTCATGATATAGTGATAGTAGCAGTGTTTGGATTCCACCCGGGTCCTTACTTGACTTGAGGTGAGGGATTTTGGATCATTAGTGCCTAGTGGAATTTGTTTGCTACATATAGTTTTCAAGAAGTCCCTGTAGTAGGAATTCTGTGTGGACGTTGGAGAGATGATATGGTTACATGTCGTAACTATTCTACAGTCGGACCAATTTTCCGGTTCCTATGTCCGTCATTCAACTTCTGCATGGTTTGCCATGCAAATTTATCAGACTAACATCTATTTGATTCGTCTGTAATATCAGTAATAGGCACTGTTCTTGTACGGTGTGCTCCAAGCGATGCTCGGATTTCTCGCCGAGAATGTCCCCACTTCGCGACCAGAGTTGGGGACATGGGCATTAGCGGTTCAGGTCGCAGTAAGTACCACTTATAAAGCTATCGGCAAGAAGGATCAGCATGAGCAAAGATTCATTCAAGGGGTGTTCTGGAAAGCTGGGCTTCTGCTATGCATTGAAATCAGGTCCACCGATTGCTCCAGTTCTGCGGTGAACTCCTTGCGCATCAAGGAAGCGGTACTCCATCCAACGCCATACACATTGCGCCACGACAAATATAACAAAGAAAACGCTCACTATAAGTATCAGCCCTTCGCAGGTCTAGTCTGTAGACCTTCGCCCAGGTGTCTTGCATGTGAAACCAGCATGCTACGTCATCAATATCCCTGGAAAGAAGATGGACACCCCGGCACGCATCAAGGCACCTAGCACACCACGCACAGCAATTCTTCTTCCAGTATAAATTTCCCCTCTTTATATTTCTCACTGGCCTCGTATGCTTTGTCATACTTCCAGCCCACCGTCTCCTTGCACTGCCTGCAGTGAATATCACGGACGATATGCCTTCCGGTGGTCATGCTACGCTCCACCGCTTCAGACGAGGTGATGTTGACGACATTGCCGAAGAGGTATGCTTTGCCATGCTGGCCGCGGAAATTCTGAATGATGGTGAAGATACATGGTTAGTAAGTGTTCGGAATATGTCATAGCAAAATCACAACTTACCCGGCTTATGATATCGTCGTAGTCAGCGAGATGAGTTTTGCATTGCTTACACCCGAAGATTTTGTTTGAAGTGAGATAGATGTTGTATGCCAGACCCATTGTGTCCTGATCGTGCTTGTCTTCCCAAAGCCACCTGAACAGGAGATGCCCTGAAACGTGAACTTCGAATACACCAGAGGATGGAGGTGTCCAGATCACGAGAGCCCGACGCTTTATAGGAGTAGAGAGGGGCAGAAAGAATGCAAGGCGTGTTCAAAGTCCTGCTGTGGCTTCGCTTTCTTTGCAAGAGGGGCTGAAGTTGCTCGTACGGTAGTTCTCCAAAAAATGGGGACCCTGTGACGGATAATGGAGGTTGCCTTGACAGGTAGAAGTTAGTGCTGGGATTTCGAACCCCAATATAAGATAGCCTTCCGGTGAACTGCACTTGAGCTCAAGGGGAATGGGAGGTATTCGAGGGGGTGGTGACAAGCAGCTGCGGCTCGTCTTTGTCGGGAATAAGCGGAGATGGGACTAGGACAAATGAGGAGACGGCAGGTCAGCCACTGCCAGGTGGTGATAATGATGCGGGAAGGGTCGACAGAGTGGAATAGAAACCGAAAGAAAAGGTTAGACTATTCAGAGTAAGAATATAGGTAGGAGTGAGCTGATTGGGGGGGGAGGAATGGTGTGGCACAGGAAATGGCTGAGCAGTGAGATGGAAGGAAGTGAGTTGGAGGTGGTAATCGGGCAGCTGCTCCCGGAGCTGGGAACCCCCGCATCGGACCAGGATTAAAGGGAGCCAGGCCCCATGACGCCCGCTACATTTCCCTTTAGGATCATACTCTCCACCCGCTAGAGTAAGCTTGGCTAGTTCCAAAGTCTCTTCGGTCTCTCGTTTCTTTTCATCTTCATCCCCTGGCTGTTGTTGCTGTGGCTAGCATAGTCCTGGTGATTTCGTCAGACTACTTTATCTCCATACCCATTCCTTATCGCGGTTATCACCGACCCGCCTGGTTGAGCCGATAATGGCAGCCTACTTACTGACCGTAGTATACCGTCTCTTGCCGTACGCAGTGAGAGAATATGACCTGTTTAGTGACACTTGGAATCCACGCTAGATTCACCTAGATGCACCTGATGTGATAGTCGGAATTCTTGGCAACCCTAGTCTGGCTATAGTTTTAGTACAGTTAACGAGTTCAAAACAGGGCTGAAACTCTACCTGTTTGCACGGTACATTCACATCAAATGTGAAGTATAGTACCACTTAACAGAACAGAATTTTAGTCACTCCCGCGATGCAGTATAGCAATATTAACCCTCTGTCAGTCAATATACTGCAAATAGCACGCTGGTGAGGCTTGTCTATTGGCCTCGATTCCAGATAATTCAACGCGTCAGCTTTGCCCCTCTTTCCCGTTATATATTCTCCGACGTCCATACTTGTGATGCCTCAAGTTTTCTGTGTCTGGAGAAATCCATCGATATCTATCATGGATTTATGATAAAGAGGTCATATTGGTCGTTCATGCGCTTGAAACCTTCTGCTACCTGCTTCATAGCTGTCTTCTGATGTCAAAACTAATTGTGCATCCCCGTGTCAAAGTTGCTCCGGGAAATGTTTCATCACGATACACTTGATTCTATCTACATAGTATCCTATGGCTAAAGATACTTATGTTCAGAAGATCCCTTGCCCCAGTATTTACAGCAGAAGTCCAGGATCTGGCAAATGACCCAGTCATTTCCAGCACAACGACACCGGTCCCTCCAATGGTAGCAGCAGCTTCCGTACTTTTGAAGGAGTCCATCCGTGTAGCTACTATTAGCCTTGGCCAAGAACTGCGTTTGGCTCAACACCGGAAGTATAAGTGGTCCGTCATGTCAGCTGACGTTTGTGCGGCTGATTGCGCGTACGAAGTCCTGTCTACCTTTGTCCGAGTAGACCCCTGTTTCTCTCCCAGAAATGCCTGCAGTCGGTATGACCCCAGTGATCCGTCCACCATTCCCCGAAACTATCCTCGACTTGTTCGTCAACTTTGGGCAACCTTTCATCTCGTTTTAGGCCACATAGAGCACAAGCGTGAGGCGCCTTCAAAGCCCCCTGACTAGCAGGAAGTGTCGTTACCCGAGTATTCTCCTGTATGACCTGAACTGGTTGTCGTTTGGTGGCTTGTACAACGGAGTTGAAGATTGCAGTCCGGTCGCGCCACATGGAAAGTACATCAACAGCTTGTTGCTCTTCTTTGATATCTTCGTTCTTGTTCACTGTGTTGAGCTTCATACCTCCCGACTTCCCTGAACGAGCCGGGCCAATCCTCATGCTCTGACTCAGTATGGAGTCCCGCTTCCACCGTAGGCTTCGGCCGGCAACAACCCGCGCGGCGGTTTTTAGAGTGTAGATGATCAGAGTTGCAGTGTTCTCAAGTTGTTCCTTTTGTTGCATTTCCTTTCTTGCTTTGGTGGCATCTTGCCGAAGTTCATCCAGTAACCGAGGAAATAGCTCAAGCAAAACAGATGGCGGAGGTATATTGGTCGGACGAACTTGATCGGCTGTTGTAGGATGACTAGATGTTGGGAAAGAGCTTGTTGTTTTCGATGGACCAACCGTAGAGTTCGGAGGCTGCACTTCCTTGCGAGGCGCCCGGGTTACTGAGGCTGTAGCACCTGAGGTGCCTGTTTGACTGGGAACTGTAGGCGGACCGTCAACAAAGTCGCCCCAATCCTCGAAAGGGTCTTCCTGGGTAGAAAGAGCCGGTTTGAGACTTGGCAATTCCTTTTTGCGTGCTTCAGGTACCATCCGTTTCGCAGCGGGCTTTCGCTTAGAGGATGGTGGTATATCATCACTTAATGACAATGAATCTAATAAGTTGGAAGGCGCTGGCTGTTTCGCAACTGGCGTGGGCTTAGGTTCCTTCATGACCTTGTGAGACTGTAACCCGGCATTTGCTGGTGGTTTAGTAGCAGGCACGTCCGCACTCTCGAATTCGCCCCAGTCATCGCTTTCATCATCTGGAGCACTTTCAAGGGTGGCGTCAAATAAGACATCATTTCCGGGTCCGTATTGGGTCAGCCCTGATGTACTAGGCGCCGCGAAAGCTGAGTCGTCCCAGCTATCGTCGAATTGAGGCGATTTCGTTGCAGTTCTGTTCGGGATGGATGAAGGACCGGTGAAAGATTCTTCAAATGCATCCAAGTCAGGGATTAAAGAGGTCGACTGGAACCCGGCGGACTGCTGGCTTGAGCCTCTCTGGGATGGAGGGGGAGCAGCCCCCATACCGAACTCCGCAAAGAGATCTGCAGACATAATGTTGCGTATGATAGTAGTGAGAGACTTAGTATATAATTATATTGACGGGAGATAAGGCGGATGCACAGTAGTAGTAATAGGAGATTTGCGGCTTGAAGAACGAGAACACGTCTAACAATATGTGTGTCGCAAAGTTCGAGGAGCAAATGAAAGCAACGCCTTCAACTTCCTTCAGGCTCTATATCCAAAGCGATGAGCGCCTCCAACCCCAAACTAGACAACTCCCCGGCGGACAGATAGAGAAAGCGTGACCGGAAGTGTGGCTGCTGAGCCAGGGAAGTTCCAAGGCGGTCCACTAGCAGCTCCTCCACACGATCGCCGCTAGTACTTAAATTGCGGGCGGCACCGTGTTTCTGTCCCCTCACCTCTCCAAGCGCTAGCCAAACACGAGGCAGGCAACTCATTCCGGCAAGCAGCCATTTGGTGAAATGAGGGGCATTGAGGAGACAAGGTATATCCATGCATCAGTCCCCCATCTGCAGCACAGATGCAGCTAACGTATCGGCCAGGCAACGATGGAATACCTTCTTTCGCGACAACAACCACCCCGCCGATATTCGGACTGCCCTTCGGTCGGAACAAGGAGATAAATTGTGCGAGGATGGATTGAGGTCTATTTGCTGGAAGGCATGCGCTTGTGGCCATTATGATCTGGTCATCGTGCTTACCTGAGCGTAGGCGTTTCTGCTTTTCGATGATCTCGACCGAGCGCAATGGCCGCAGAAGATCGCCGATTCGCGAAGTGTTTATGTCGCCCTGAAAGCCCATTTCTTGAAATACATCGAACATCCAGACGACCTGCAGTCGACAGTTGATCCGCTGGCGGATGATGAAGCGGTATGTTATCTCTGGCTACGCTGTCTTTGGCGGAAGACTTGACCGGCTGATGAGATGTCTTTGTAAAGTCACCATGGCAAACGTTACGTGATGACGAGCAGTCGAGGGCGGATATCGCCCAGGACGTCGACCGATGTTTACAGGAAAACTTCTTCTTTCGCGAGCCCTCCACCAAGTCTAAAATGATTGACATCTTGTTCATCTACTCAAAATTGAATCCCGACTTGGGCTATCGTCAAGGCATGCATGAGATTCTGGCTCCACTCCTTTGGGTCATTGATAGAGACGCCATCGAGCCAAAGTCACTGCAAGAGTCTAGCACCAAAGAAGCTGATGATGACCTGATGCATACTCTTCTCCATGCCGATTATGTGGAGCACGACTCTTTTACATTATTTTGCTCGGTTATGCAGAATGTTCGCGTGTATTATGAGCATAATAGACACCGGTCAGAGAATGGCCAGGCGGATGTGATACCGATCGTTCACCAATGCCACCGCATTCATAATGATTTGTTGGTAACCGCGGATTTGGAGCTGGCGGATCATCTGCAAGCCCTTGAAATCTTACCGCAGATATTCCTCACGTAAGTACAACTCGCTACGCAACTCTCGGATTGCAATGCTAATCTTCAGAAGGCGTTGGATGCGTCTACTGTTTGGTCGAGAGTTCGCTTTCCAAGATGTTCTTCTCATTTGGGATCGCCTTTTTGCAGAAGGGTTACGACCCGAACTCATAGACTTTGTGTGTGTCGCCATGCTGCTACGAATCCGATGGCAACGTGAGTTACATTTGCTATGCAGACTGTTTGCTACAAGTTGCTGAGTTGATCTAGTGTTGCGCGCCGATTCCTCGAGTGCTTTGGGTCTTTTGCTTCGGTATCCTTCCCCTCAACCACACGAACCTCTAAGCTTCGTGCATGATGCGATATACCTGGAGCAAAACCCCACTCCTGATCGAGGAGTATTCATCATTTCCAAGTATTCTGGAAGACCGCCGGATCCCACCAAAGGACTTGGGCAACCAAATTCAAAGCATATGAACAGCAAGAAGTTCCGCCTGCGGAGCGTCTCAAGAGATCTAAGCGAAAGCAGTTCCCCGTCCAGGTCACCTGCAAGGAACAGCCCCAAGAGTCTGGAGACGCTCTTCCAAGACGTTTCTGAGGGCATACAGCGTCGAACAGAGGCGTGGGGTGTAGCCAAGGCTGTCCGGGGAGCGGTGAGTGAAGCCAAGAGAAACATGCAATCTATTCAGTCAGAGCACTACCCCCGGACTGCACGGCATGAACCGTCCAGCTCGACTGTAGGCATGCCGTGGGACCATGGCACCGACATTGCAGTCCAATGGAAGACGAAGGTTGAACAACTGGAGGAACGAAACAGGAAACTTGCCAAAAATCTCGGCAATGCCTTGAATGACATCCGGAGCCACTTGATGAGAGCAGAAGGCATCGATAAGAAGACCACAGACGCCTTGAAGAAGGCGCTCACCCAAGTTCAGTCAGTCCAGAGCTGTCTTGAAGACTCTTCCATCCCTCCCGGTACCGTGGAGCAGGGTCCCAACGAAAGTGGTGAGGGAGACCAGGAATCGCTGTCTGACGCCTCTAAACCCGCGAGTGAGCAAGCTGAGACTGTGCTCGACAAAGCAAGTGACGCCTCGTCAGCGGCGCGCAAACCTAGTGTGTCTGCGAAGTCATCACGGTCGTCCGTTGAATGCGAAACGAAAATTCGTAGAGCTTCGAGCAATGGCCAGATTCCTTCATCCATGCCACTTCGACATGCCGTACGTCCATCACTGGCAGATTCGGAGTTTTCGTGGATGCTCGGGGGCGGGCGACAGTTTTCGAGTTTCGTTAGCCCGGCATCCGTGCCGCCCGAACAGACCCGACATGGAGAAATGCGAGCCAAACCGAGTACTCTATTTGGCAACGGTGACGAGGAGCATGGAAGGCCTGACGCTGAGGCTGACGGATTGGCGCTGCGAAGTCTTCGGGGACCCAAAGCTCGTGAATAGTCCGGATGCGCTTTCTGTGCGACTCAATATATACTTCCTCGAAGTCAGCCTCTGGCATTCTTGTTGATCCGTTATACCCATCGTCGTTGTTGAGGCGACGGCATCGGACTACAGATTTTGCTTATTTCTTTTGCATAGTGGCTTGACAGGCCGCAAATTTATTATCCGGTCCGGTTGATCATAGCGTCCGTCTCAAACTTTTTTTTCTTCTGTTTATCTTCACCCTAGAAACTCGGGTAGGGATTTTACCACTGCAAAGAGACTATTATGACTGTACGAAGGAAATGAGGATAAAGTGGGAATAGCAGACCGGACGGGAGCCTGGAGCTAGCCCGACTATTGTAGGCAACAAGGAATTCAAGTGCCTAAGCAGGAACCTGACTTGCGTAAGTTGTCGACGAAAACTTCGGGTACTGGGGCCCTTTGATCGCATGGATCTCCCATGGAAGCAACGCGGCCCTCCACATGCCAGCGTGACTGGCAGACGTTCTAAGGTTCCAAACAGTGTCTTTACTGTGCAGCCACGGCGAACGCCAATTGGTCTGGAACCCGCCGGTGAGCTTAGTGCGGACGTGTACAATTGATCGTCGGGGCCTTCTGTCTAATCACTAATGGAAGTCGAAGGTCGGTAGTTCCCTGTGCGGTTTGCCCCAATCAAGTCAAATGCACCATTTGGTGCTTGCGGCGATCTACAACCGCAACGGGGGCTGGCTGATCGAGTTACTTTGGGCCGCCAAGATGGCGAGCAAAAAGTTGAATCATCCACTTTCTGTCGGGGAGGTAAAAAAGTAGTACGTACAGTAGTTAGGCTAGGAGGGGGAGGGGAAATTCGTTCGAACAGGAAATGATCGGAAGAATAATAATACGTCGAAATAGTCCAGAAGCATGTTTTCGAAGTTGGCAGAATGGATCGAACCATATGAAAGTATACTAACTGATCGGTTTCGTCCGTAGGCCGTCGGGAATTACATCACCACCATGCATGGGTTGGGTGGTTCCATTGGGAGAAATGGCTTGGAAGCCGTAGTAGTAGTAATTAGTAGTCTAGGTAGTCTAGTTGACGGAAGGTGTTAGACTCAAGCAAGTTAGGAACTCAAGTAGTATCTCCGATGGGGGCGTTTTTTTGGAAAGGGATTGATGGACTGCATTAGTGACTCCATAGTTTGTGGTTGTTGTCAATGGCTCGCATGGATCCAGGATGGGTATTGAGGAGGGAGGGGGAAGAAGTCCCTTCTTGCATGCTTTACTCTCTCTCTCTCTCTCCCCTTTCCCTTCGACTTCCCCGACCGTGCCGGACCACCGATATTTTTTTGACCTTGAACTAACATATTTAAAAGAAAGAAAAAAAGAAAAGTTATTGACGGGTTGGCAGGCAGGCTGACTTTCAACGCTAGCTTGAACTTCTCGACAGACTTTACATACTCCCGTTTTGAGTCCGATCTACCATCACTACTACCATTATTACTTCTTTTGTTCTTCCCTGACAGCTCCCCTCCTCGTGCGTGGAGCTGCCAAATAAGACCCAAATACCCGACCTAGGTACTTACTAGACAGTCCATTAGACAAGACTACTAAAAGGGAGCAAGAGAAAGGATCATCTGAAACCTCATTTCCGCTGGTTCTTCTTCTAGTCTTACGTCCGCGGGATAACCAGAACGTCATTCATTTCCCCCCCCCTCTCCTCCCTCCGCTGCGAAAGAAACATCGTCAAGTTAACATCTTCATCCATCTTTCCCTACTACGAGTCTCCACTATTTACCCACCCCAACTTACTCGCTTCTACCAAATTTTTTCCCTTTCCTTCCCCTACAACCGCATCCCTTTCTCTAGAGGATCGGATCCTCCTCTCACGGGTCTCCCCCCAGTACTGGAGAGGCCATTACAACTTCCCCCTCTTCCTTGGCCAGTCTTTGGCCACTTTTTTGTCGGTTCGAAGGCCCGGCGCCGACCTTACCTCCTTACCCTTCTACCACCCGCCACTGCAACATCTGCTTCATCTGCAGGCCATTGGGCCTCCCTGTGACTAATTCCCACCAACAAGAGACTCCCTTACTACTTAGGCTTTCTCCAGCTACCTTGTTCCTCTCCCCCCGCGTGCTACGCCTCCCTCGCAACTGTATGGTACCTGTGACCTCACGAAACAGCTGCCCACTCGACCTTCCCGCCCGCAGTCCGCTGACAGCCTTTTTTAACCTCCCTCCTCCACCTTCACTGTCGACCACGGACTGACCGACTCACTGCAAGTCTCGTTTGTCTCATTAAGTGCATTGAGATCCCGACAAGCAGGAGGGTTCTGGTTAATCTTTCTCCCCCTCGCAGTAACTCGTGATTTTATCCCAACGCACCGATCTGCAAGTGGAAAAAGAAAAAAAAAAATACTAAGGGAAAGGAAAGAAAAAGAGACCCCGGAGCGGAGCAACAAAATCGTTTTCCTTATAAGATAACCAAGGGAGGCAGACAGACAAGAATACTTGCAGGTCTCGCCAAACAAACCGCCGTGGATGGTCAATGTTCTGTTATCCCATGTAGCAATAAATCTCGCCGTCATTCTTTCCTAGCCCTCTTTGTTTTCAACTCATTACGAGTTGCGCCGATTTGAACCGCTTGTTGTCAATCGGTCTGGTCGGTGCTGGCCCCTACGCTCTCATTGACTTGGGAAAATATGGGTTCTACTTCCTATAATCCCGATGGTTAGTCTCCCATTTCTGTGATCGTTCTCTTTGATCAGCACCCTTTCCGCTGCTTCTCCTAGCGCACCAATCCAGCAGGGAAGAGTTGTTGGCTTCGAGCAGGACGAACTCGATAGGTTTATGCAAATGGCGACCAAGGCGCTTCGGCCTGGGAAGGAAAAGCTGCAAGAGCGAAACGACGACCGTGTCGAACTTTTGCCAAAGTGGTTGTCCAACCTATGGTAACAAATCGACTTATCCAGACCGTTTACCCACATACTTGGATATGCATCTCGGAACAAGTCAGCCACTTCATTCCACATTGCTGAAGGGTGTATTCGGGAGGGGCGCAGGAGAAGCGGATGATATCACAACTAGCGAGGGAGCAAAGGGATGTTGGCAGAACAGAAGCTAACGACCTCCTGCCATACAGGTGAACCAAGCCCATTGTCGTCCCCCGTGGGACCCCTTTCCGCGTCGCCCGAGTCGGACCCTTTTATGAGACGCCTCTCTGGGCACACTGAGGACTCGATGAAATACTCTGCAGACACACTCTCCTCGGGCTATGATCATCTTTCCAGGTACGTGGCCGATGGGTGGGGTTCTCCTTGCAGTAGGATTGTATATGCATTTGCGCAAACCACGCAGACAGGAACTAAAAGGAATTTTCTATCGCTCTTCTGCAGGTCTTCTCTGCTGGATCCTGAACATGGACTTGGCCCATCTGGTCTAGATCGCATACGTCAACAGCCATCACGCGTCTTTACCCTTCCGAACATGTCTGCCTCATCGGTCGCACCTATGACCTCACGTAGCCATTCACCTTCACCACGCTCCGCTTCTTCGACCAGAGCCCACCCCTCACGCCTCCCATCGACCGAAGAATTCGGCACATTAGAAGATCTCCACCGCTTCCCGTGCGAATCGCTACATTCGTTTTCCTTTGCCCAACAATCTGAGGAACTACTGAATAATCGGCATAACATCCTGAAAAGGTCAATAGACTTCATGCGCGACCGCTTCGGCTGGACCACCAGCAACAGTGCGGGGCTTGCTGGCGCTCAGGCTCGATTCGGTGGAGATGCTGATACCCAGAGCGTGGTGGACTACTTGTCGAAAACCAGTGTTTCGGGCAGGGATGACCGCTACAACTACGCTGGGTTATCGCGCGGACCTATGACTGGACCTGCTGATGTGGACAGTGGCAATATCTTTGAAAGGGCATTTGCAGAACCCCAGCTTTCCGCGAACCAGTTTAGGGACATGGTACAGGAGCAGGGACCGCCCGATGCCCTGCGTTCCTCGGGCCAGGCATCAGAAGATCTAGCGTCCCCGCTGAGGACAGACTCGAGGCCGTACCCCAGGCGCGTAAGCATAAAAAAACGTACTTATACCGAGGCTGGCTCTATTACTGCCCAGGGCAAGCTGATGGAAACTCTAGCACCCTTCACCTCCACGGACCCCTTATCTCCTACCAGTACCTCAAGTCTAGGATATGGTTTCCCGGTTCCTGTCCTACACACCCACAGCAGCAAGTGGACACCCGCATCACAAGCCGTGTTCAGGACCGAGTCGCATGAACCATGGACCATCTTGGCGGCGAATGACATCTCGTGTCTCATCTTTGGTGTCACACAAGCGGAGCTCCGCAAGCTAAGTATCCTCGAAGTCGTACAGAAAGACCGCAGACAGTGGGTTGAGTCGAAACTGCGGGACCCCACCACTGATGCTGCCGTAAGGGCCCAACCTTCGCCTGACAAAACTCGTGTCAAGCCTGTGAATCCGAAATCGATGGGAATGGGCAATGGTGTAACAGCGCAGCTGCTCAGCAAGCCTCCTTCTCGAGCAAGGGCTCCGAGGCGGGCCCAGACTGATGACGGATACGGCTCGAGCGCAAGGCAGCTGAATCACCCGGCAACCAAGTCCCGAGGTGTACTGCTGTGCGGAGATGTGGTACCTATCGAAAAGCGCGATGGCAAGAGAGGCTCTGCCAGCATCTGGGTGATGGAAAAGCGTGGTGGTTTGATTTGGGTGATGGAGGAGATCCAGGAGAATGTCGCGTTCGTTCGCTGCGATGAATCCTGGAACATTGCTGACGCCACCGGCGATATTGACAAAGTCTGGGGTCAGGGTGCGGCGAAAACTGGAGAACGGCTCACGGAGTTGCTTCCTAATCTTCCACCAGACTGCCTTACATCTCCAATCGATCAAGGCCTCAGCAAAATCACCGAGAAGAAGTACTTTGCTTCTCGCACATCAGCTGGAATCTGCATACCGTCCACCATCACCAAGGGCGACAGCTCAAGATGCCTTCGAATATCGAGCTTTCCTCATGTCGCAGGTATGATGGTGCTGTCCTCTTCGACTTTGAAAATTGTCAGCTCCAATTCCGTCTTCTCGTCTGCGCTGTTTGGACATGAGCGACCTGAAGGCCTACACGTTAATGATTTGATACCTGGCTTCGACGGCTTGCTGAACGTGCTCACCGAGGAGGAGAGTGTACCGCTGGTTGACGGTCTGGTGATCTCTGAACCCAGCTTCCGGAGAGCGCGCACCCTCTCTATTCTCCGCGATGGCAAATCCAATGTGGCCTCGGTCTTCCTAGAACCATCTGGTCTTGCTGCCGTGCATCGCGATGGCTCCTCGATTGCTGTAGATGTCCAGATGCGTGTGGCCAAGAGCGGTACAATGTTCCCCAAGGCACGAGATGATCCCAATTCAGGAGACCACAGCGACTCGGAGTTTGAAGCTGTCACAGAGCTTGTATACGCACTTTGGGTGACATATTCGAGACATATCCACTCGGCAGCTCCCGCCGCTGGCTTCCCTTCTCCGCCGTCCCGGACAGAAAGCCCGTCTTCTATTTCTGCATCGAATCTGGCTTCCACAACGGCTTCTACTCCTTATGCCATTGGCTCGGAGCGGACATCGGTAGAGACGCACATACCGACCTCTACCTTAAGCCAGCAGTTGAGTGAAGCAGCTTCGCAACCGCTAACAGACAAACCGGTCCAGCCAGTGCCCGAAGTAAGACCGGCTGGTACCAAAGAGGTGCCCCAAAAACGAACAATTGCCGATTACATTATCCTCGAGGAGATGGGTCAAGGAGCCTACGGAGAAGTGAAGCTTGCGCGCATGAAGAAGATTCCAACCAAGAAAGTCGTTCTGAAGTATGTTACGAAGAAACGGATTCTTGTCGATACATGGACCCGCGATCGTCGTCTAGGAACGGTACCATTAGAAATCCACGTTCTGAACTATCTCCGACGCGACGGTCTGAAGCATCCCAACATCGTGGAAATGGAAGGATTTTTCGAGGACGATATCAATTATTACATCGAGATGACGCCACACGGGCTACCTGGAATGGACCTCTTCGATTACATTGAGCTGAAAGCGAATATGGATGAGGCGGAATGCCAGAACATCTTCAAGCAGGTTGTGGATGCAATTCATCATCTCCATACGAAGGCTTTGGTCGTGCATCGCGACATCAAAGACGAGAACGTCATTTTGGACGGGGAAGGACGGATTAAGCTTATTGATTTTGGGAGTGCCGCCTATATCAAGAATGGACCCTTTGATGTGTTCGTGGGCACGATTGGTAAAAATCCCCTCCTGTAAACGAATATAATAATCCAGAAAGCTGACTTGTTGAAGATTATGCGGCACCTGAGGTTCTTCAAGGCAAATCCTACCGAGGCAAGGAGCAAGACATTTGGGCCCTTGGTATCTTACTCTACACCATCGTCTACAAAGAGAATCCCTTTTACAATGTTGACGAAATCTTGGATCACCCTCTTCGAGTTCCGTTCTTGCCCTTCTCAGAGGATTGCATCGACCTAATCCGGAGGATGCTTGACCGAGATGTGGACAACCGACTGACGATCAGTGAAGTTTTGGAGCATCCTTGGATGATTGACAGTTGAGCACTATGACAAAGAAGATAAAATGCGCCGTGGCATGATGCATGATGCATTGGATGATATTGTGCAGCTTTTCAGACATCGCCCGCCCGCCTATGCAGAGACTTGGTCTTTCTTAATCTTGCTTACACTTCCGTGACGTTGAAGATGGTGATAACGAGCAGCGTATGCGACGACTCCAGATGCAATGGAGATTATGAATGAAAATGATGAAAATGGATGAAGTCGAGCAGGATGAAACGGTTCAAGGGCATATAGGAGCGTGGGGGAAACTTGTGGATTGGGGGCACGAGACGGGACGGGAATCATTGGGAACGGATGATAACGAAAATGCCTGAACAGACCGAGAGGCCCGTGGGTCATTTGTATAGAGGTTTACGGAGGCTGAGATACCCCATTGTCATCTTGTTATGCTCTTTTGGTTAGATAATGTTCTTTTTTCTTTTTCTTCTTTTTTTTTTTTTTTTGCATTTACTTGGACCATCTTTGATACCATGCATGGCCAAGGGGTGGTGAGAATTGGCAGTACATGCATATGAAAGATCCGATATACCCTCAGCAGTGGTGTTATTTTCTTTTTCCTCTTTCTTTGACACGCCGAGTGTCTTTACATGTTTTTAAGCCACAAAGAGCCAGTCTGCAGTTTAGATTAAGCGGGCACGAATAGAGAGACACGACCAATTCATGCACTAACTCAACCAGTTACTTTCTGTTTGGTTCCAGTCGTATCCCACATGGCGCGAGGATCTCGCCGGGCTTGCTTACCTTACCAACTGCGGGGGTGGAAGCGGGGGAAGAAAAAAGCCAAAGACTAGTGCTCGTAAAAGTAATAGTCTAGCCATAGCTATACTAGTAGTTAATCTATGGACTAGTAGTCTAGCCAGTAAGTGAGGCAGTCAAAACTCGTGGCCGTCAGCCGCCTGAGAAACTCCGGCGGTGATCCGTGATGTACTGTGAGATCACACCAAGAGGTAGCAGCCAGTCAGACAGTTACTCATTTGAATGTCTTTTCCTAGCAGAATAGTGCCCAACACACAATAGAATGTGAATTGATACGTAGACTATTTCTATACAATAAGTAGGGAGCTATGTATGCCCCAGATAAAAGTAACAACTACCTATCACATAACCAAGAGTAATCTCATCAATTAGTTGTTAATGTGACAAAAGTGGATGGACCCGAGGATGTGAGGAGGGGTGGATATTGGTACTACTAGTAGATAGTAGATGAATGGGTGGGTGCCTTACTGGTTTGGGGCGTATTAGCCGGGGAGTCTGACCTGTCAGTCAGGTACGAATTCGATACCTCGATTGCAGTGAGAGAGTACGGTGTACGGTGTAGAGAGTTGTATCTATCTATCTAATCTATTTACCTATTCTGCATGTATCTAGTCTATCTTCCCCTTACCTACTCCGTGTGTTCAATATGTTGGTTGATTATTCGATACATTGAATTTTCCACCCAGTGTTCCATTACTACTCTCTTTCTCTAGTGGTGGCGTTATCCACTGTGTATGTGAGAGGCGAACAACAACGAGATAGATACAACCTAGGCAGCAACACAATATCCATCCATCCATCCATCCATCCATCCCTAAGATACTACTAGTAGACTAGCACTGAGCTGAATTACTTAGTGTGGGGTGGAGACAAGAAAACACGACTGTTTCTCTGTAACTAACTAACTAACAATCACTTGTCTGTCTTACTGACTTAGCCACAACCACTCCACACACACCAGAATTGCACTATCATTGGGCTACACAATCCGGGAGGAAAGCGACCAGGAACGAAAAAGCCGTTTTCCGCCCATTCGGAGCCCCGGTCGGGTCGGGCTTGGGCCCTTGTTCTTTTGTGCTGTGTTGTGGTGCTTTGAAGTGTACCGTGGCATGGGGAGTGGTGTTCTGGGCTCTGCTTGGTGGGTTTAAAGTGGGTTGTGGGTTGTTTTCTTTTGGTGGGAGTGGAGAGGGGGAGAAGGAGAGGTAGAGAATGGAGGTGGACAGGGATTGGGTTGGGGGGAGGGGGTTTCTTCTGTTTTCTTTTTCTTTTTTTACATCCACTTGTTTCTCTTGGGGAGGCGTTTGTATGTATGTTGTGGGATGTTGGAATGGGAATGGTGTTTGTCTTTTTGCCTGGTTTAAGTATCCATGGCAGAATCAGAGGATATGCTGTTTCTAGGTAACTGCATTTTTAAGACAAGGAACAAGGAAGAGAGAGAGAGAGAGAGAGAGCTAAGCCAGTCTATAACACCAGGTACTAACTACTAGTATAATGGTTATCAACATTACCATTCTTTCCCTGTCGTTTTGCATACCGATCGTACAGTAATGATGCCCTTTTCCCGCCATCCTTATCTTTTGACAGGTGAACCTTTTTCTCGATTGATCGGCTGACTTGAACTTCTGATCTGAGGGAGTATGTCCATGAGACCACCATTTCTTATCTGCCCTTTCTCAAAAGATGAATCAGAAGCCATTGTTCAAATTTAATTGAACCATTCACTGATCGGAACAGACGGTAAAGAAATAAAATGCCGCGTGTTGGATTGACTCCGCCGGGAACCACCGCCACCGCCTGGGAGCCAAAAGTGGGGAATGAGAAACAGCGCTAGTCTAATCGATAAGTCTGTCTGGCAGGAGAGAATGGAATGTCTCGATAAGCCTGTGGGGTAACTCAGTTACTACTTACTAGTCAAAGTAAACTCAACTCACGTCTCACGGATTGAACGGACTATTGAACGATCCCCCGACAGGTACGGTATTGTTCGGCAAGTCCCTCTTCCCACCGACTGGTTATGTGTTGCTCAGAATGGGGAACAGTGGCTGCTGTGAATGGTCCAATCCAGTAAGCTCGCCCGGTCCGTTCTCCATTGTTTCTGTGGTGGCCATGCAGGCCATCGAGTCTCCACGCTCCCTGAGCCTTTTTTTGTTTCGGTGTTATTCTTCTTTTCTACTGGTGGTAGTAAATTAGTGGCAGTGGTGGCTCTGTCCGTCAGACTGAATTGCTTGCTGTCCGATAACTGGCTGTCGTCTGACTTGGCCAGCCTTACGTGATTTGTTCCCCCCCCTTCTGTCTTCTTTCTTTCTTGCTTGCCTACTTGCCTGCTTTTCTTCCTTCTCCCATTAACTACTACTATCTTCGCTGTTCGCTCTCCTGCAGGGTCTTCCGTTTGCGTGTGGCCTTACTGCTTGCTTCCCTTTTACCTTTTCGTGTTGACCACTGTGGATGATGCTTCGGTGACGTCTGTACGAAACCCAGTGTTCTTCTTTACTTGGAGGGAAATCCAAAGCCTGTGCCGGCCACCCGCAATCGCTGCCACTTCTCCGGGGTTACGCGGTCTCCTGTCCCATGGTACCATCGTTAACACTCCTTAGCCGAGACACTCCCCCGACTTGGTCGCTTGTTTGTCTGCTGCCCTGCTGACCCTCATCCTCTCCATTTCGCTTCCTCTTCGCTCTCTCGACAAAACCTGTCCGTCCGCAGGATCGGGGTTCGGCGTTTTTGCTTCGATCAGGGCGATAAAGGTGTTATCGCGGTTATCGCTATCTCGAGAATCATACTTGCGGAACGGCTGGCGGTCTGGCTTCATTATGACTGTCTAGGACTGGATTTACTGCGACCACTCGTGCTTGTCGCTGCCACAAATCGTCCTGGCTAGCTGTTCGACTGTCTACAAACCTTTCGCATACCTCTCCACCTTCTCCGACATACCGTTGAGATATTTGTGATCATAGGAGCCTCGGATCTCGATAACGCAATTCCGTCATGGCTACCGCATTTCCTGATGAAATCAGGGCTTCGCCTGAAGCGGCCTCGCCGGCGAGCCCGGCTTCTTCAACTGGCCAGATCCCTTTGGAACAACCGCCCAAACTCAAGGGACGTCACAAGTTGCTCCAGAGCCTGCAGCGCATCTCGTCCAGCCCGAGTCTGACCAGACGGGGCCGGTCCCATTCTACGGGATACCGTCGTGACAACAAGGCCTCTTTGTCCTGTGTCTCCCTGTCCCAATCCGCATATACTCCTTGTCTGGGTAATGGAAGCACCTCGCAACTCTATGGCGGATTGAACGCCCGTCCAATTACCCCCGGTGCTGCTGCCTTCCCAGTAGACCACGATGGAAACCCTCGAATCCGCCTTGTCGGTTCCGACTCGCCCAATGCGCGGACAGTTCCATTGCCTACCGATCTGCGACCAGGATCTCGTGGGTCCCCGCTGGGAATGGATGCTGCTGATCAGACTGCCACGGCGCGGTCGACCCCCAAGCCAAAGAAGGTCTTTGATTTCTGGGGGAATATGCCGGATGAGCTGAAGATGCGCATTTTCCAGTACCTCACCCCGAAGGAGATTGTCCGTTGCTCTGCTGTTTCGAGGGCATGGAACAAAATGTGTTATGATGGACAGTTGTGGACCGAAGTCGACACGACGGACTACTACCGCGATATCCCTAGCGATGGTCTTGTAAAGCTTATTACCGCCGGTGGGCCATTCGTTCGCGATCTCAATCTCCGGGGCTGTGTCCAATTGAAGGATAAGTGGAAGACTGATGGCGACCGCATCACCGACTTGTGCCGAAACGTCGTCAACTTCTCGTTGGAAGGATGTCGCATTGACACTCAATCGATCAACTGTTTTCTCTTGCGCAACCCCCGACTGGAGTATATCAACTTGTCCGGCTTATCGTCTGTCAGTGACTCTGCCATGACGATTATCGCACAGTCCTGCCCTCAACTTCAGATCTTGAATGTATCCTGGTGCACCGGCGTTCATACTGCGGGGCTCAAGAAGATTGTCAGCGCTTGCAAAAATCTAAAGGATCTCCGGGCGAGTGAAATTCGTGGGTTTGACGACGTCGAATTCGCCGTACAACTATTCGAGCGAAATACCCTGGAACGCCTGATTATGAGTCGCACCGATCTTACGGACGAGTGTCTGAAGGCGCTTGTGCATGGCCTTGACCCTGAAATGGATCTTCTTGAGGAGCGCGCGCTTGTTCCTCCGCGGCG